GTTTCTGCCATTTCTGAGTCCAGCCGAGAATGGGAATTATAGAAAGTGGAAGAAATATTTCTCATTCCCCCATTTGGTTCTCCACGTACTTATTTGTGCAGTGCTCTCTTTATAGATACACAGAATGCAAATTTCTGCCCCAGATCTCTGTTAGAACTAATCATCATACTTCTCAACCAAGATCACTTGCTAAGGTAGTATGAACAGCTGGTAACTGGCCCATATGTAAAAAGAGAGAAAATCTCTGGTGATTCCCTAGAGGGAGAAAATAAGAATATTTTTGGCAGGGGGAGCAGAGAGGAAGCCAATCAGGAAAGGAGCAGCTGTGCTCCGCCCCCCCTGCACCATCTTTAAAAACAAAAAGCTGGACAGTAAAGAAAGTTGTCAGGAAAAAAAAATCTGATTTGTTTGAAATGTGGTGCTCAAGGAGAGCTTTGCAGATTGCCCAGAAAGACAAACAAGTGGGTCTTGGATGAAATCAAGCCTGAATTATCTCTGGAGGCAAAAATGTTGAAACCGAGGCTGTCCTCCTTTGGGGCACATCATGAGAAGACAGGATTCTCTGGAAAAGACAATAAGGCTGGGAAAGGCGGAAGGCAACAGGAAAAGAGGGAGACCAAACACCAGATGGACTGACTCCTGAAAGGAAGCCACAGGCTTGAGTTTGTAATAGTAGAGCAAGGTGGCCGAGGACAGGACATTTTGGAAAGTGCTCATTCTTAGGGTTGCCATGAGTTGGAAGTGACTTGAAGGTTCTTCCTCAGTGCCCCACTAGACATTGTTTTTCCTAACAATGCCTCTGGAACACTTATTACGCAGTGACGTAGTGCTGTTCCTAGTGAGGCTGAGTGTGGGGACGACAGGACGGCCATTGAGATACTGATAGCAAGGCTACTCTCTGTTTGCAGCAGTGGCTAAATTATACGTTTTAAACAATGCTAAACAAAACAAGCCCAAGGACACATCAGCCACTGGTGATCCAAATTATATCCTCCACCATAACAAACTAATTTTTTTCTCCCTAAATTCTGGGTTACTTTCTACAACTTTCACAAGAGATCATATAAAACTGAACCTCAGTTGCTGAGAATCAAGAACCGGAAG